GGGAATGGAACACCCGAGAAGGTGGTGGAGGAGGGAGGATTGAATTCGGAGGATCCCTGGCTTCCACTGCGGTGCGTAGCGCCCCCTGCTGCCCACACGGGAAACAGCAGCTCCCGTTTCCCACACTGGTGCCCTCCCCTCTGCAGGTCGGGCTCCCACCCCCTTGGAGACGCCTCTGAACCAGCCTAGTCCTTCCCTGCTGCTTGTGTTCCCTTGGGGGTCTCCAGGTCTCTTGGTGGGGTCTGGCCCCTGGAGATATGTGGCCGAGTGGAGGATGGGGACCTTCAGCGGCCATGATCTGGATGCCCACGTCACGGGGAGTTTTGAGAGATTGAGCCCACTTTAGCTTGGGCCGTAAAACCACCATGGTAAGAAGTGTCCAACTTTGGGAGAAAAATAAAAATATATAAAAATATTTAGAAAAATACCCCATGGGGGCCTACAAGCTCCTGAGTCAGGCCCTCTGCCAACACTCCAGTGACCAGCATGGTTACTGAGGGGCATGGAGGGCTGTCCCGTGGGAAGAGGCTTGGACACGCACCGTGAACTCAAGAGCAAGGACACTGTTGACCTGGAGATGTGGGCGGTGGATGAGTACAGATGGAGCATCTTCCTGTGCCTTGGAAAGGGGCAAGGTGGGTTCCAGCAGCCCCCAGAGCTTCTGCTGGGTGGCTTTTGGAAGAAGGGGCTCTCCATTCTACTGGGGACATCTGCAGAGAGGGTGGGCAGGGAATAAGATATTCCGTTCAGCTCGGAGTTCCTTTTTTTCCTCTTTTCTATTCCAAATTCATTCCAGAGTGTGTGGTAGGATCAGTATTGCAAGCCTAGTTCTTGGCCAGAGCCCTAGTGACTGTCGTGCGTGCGTGGGGGGCCTAGCCATTGCAGGAAGAGGGGGCAAGAGTCTTCATCTGATGAGGGCCAGGGACTTTCCACCTCCCTCAGCCCTCCCCCCAGGCTCTGTTCCTGCCCTCACATTGAGCCCTCATCTCTCTGACACTTGCCCCTCCAGGGACTTTTATTCTGAAAGAGCCAAGGCCCCTGGAGGTGGAGAGGAGGCCAGAGGCTGGAGCTGGCCTAGATGCTGAGCCAGCTCCACCTTTCTCGGCTGTTTTCCAAGGCAGTGACTCTGGGACCCTTGCTGTCCTCAGGTCTCCTCTTTATCCCCTGTCTCCAGCCTTGCTGGCCTTTGAGCAGAAGGTCCCTATAGCCAGGCCAGCTGGGCTTCTCCCTCCTGTGCCTCACACCCCTGTATCCCAGTCTTTTATTCCTTGACCTTGCACCCTTCATCTAATTCCTTTTTAATCTGGCTTTCTTGCTGCCTGCCCTTCCCAAAGCAGACACGGAGGCCAGGTCACCCTGTAGAAGCCCCCCGCCTCCCCCAGCATTGGACAAAGGTCTTACCCCATCCCATCCCTCTTTCCCAGCACATAGGATGGAAGTGTCAAATAGCCAGATGCCTTCAGATGTCAGAGCCGTGGGGTCTGTTGTACCCTGCGCAGGTGGGGCTGTGTCTTGAGCCTGGTTTTGCTGAGCATATGAAGCTTTCTCGAGAATAAGGACAAAGAAATGGACAAAAAGACTCTGCCGGCAGCTGCTGTTTAAACTCTTGAAACCCAGTCACAGTTTTCTGGAAGTCCGTCAGGATATAATTTTCACTAATCACCAAATGCCCAAAGCTTAGCTCTTTCTTAGAAGGAAAAGGAGAGTTCAAATGGACAGGAGAGAGCGGGGACTGGCTGTTCTCAGGGCCCTTCCCTCTGCCTGCTTCTTTCATCTAGGAGGCCAGAACTTGATCTGGAAGTGAGGTCACTACTGGGCAGTGGAGTGTGAGAAAGGACTTTGGCCTGGGGGCTGCAAGTTACAGATTAACACAGGGAGGGGTAAGAAGGGACCCAGCGAGGGGAGGTGGCTGGAGGAAGGGACGGCTGACCTGGCACCATCTGGGCTTGAAGGGGACATGACAGGAGGGTCTGTGGGCCAGGCACTGTCTGGAGGGGCTCGGCTCCTCTCCGGCTATCTGACCTTCCTGAAGACCTGCTGGCACACTGCATCCCTTGCAGTCAGCTCCTGAGGAGAGAGGGGAAATGAGGAGAGAGAAACAGGGCTTTTGCCGGCTGGAGCCCCTTTCTCAAGGTCCTTGACCTCCATTTACTCCTTCCAGATACAGCAGCTCGAGTGTTTGATGTATGGGCAATTGTATCATTGTTCCACAGCCTCAACTTTCCACCCCACAGGAAGGAGGGTGGCTGGAGCAGGGGATGTGAACTGGCTGAAACCTCCATCTCTCCAGTGATGATTTATGGGCATTCATCCGACTCGTAGCCAGGGTCCACCTTGGCCACAGTTTCTTCCTCTCCCCACTCCTCCCGATGCTTTTGTTTTCCCTCCTTGGTCACTTCCTTGGACGGGGAGTGGGGCTGAGCTGGGGGTGGAGTTGCAGACCTCTCTGATTGGGACAAGGGGATGCCTCCTAGCCGAAGGCCCTTCTCCCAGATGCCCAGCCCCCACCCCACTTACCAGATACAGCATCTCTCCCTCCAGCCAGTGTCTCCAGCCCCGGTTGGGGACCTCCCCTTTCTGCACACACACCAGCTGCTCCTCCTCCCAGGTTACTATGGTCTATAGGGGAAAGAGGGAATAAAGAAACATTGGGAGGCAGGACACCCAAAATGCTTCCCACCTCGCTCTGACCGGGCTCCCCCTTTTACTCTGCAGCAGATGCTGTGTGCTCCAGTCCTCCGCTGAGCGAGAAGGCTGCCCTGATTCCGCACGACTCTTTTCCCACTTTTTTTTTTTTTTTTTTTTTGAGACAAAGACGAAGCTTCGTTGCTTCGTCACTCAGGCTGGAGTGCAGTGGCAGGATCTCGGCTCACTGCAACTGTCTCCTGGGTTCAAGTGAGTCCCATGCCTCAACCACCCGAGTAGCTGGGATTACAGGTGTGCACCACCATGCCCGGCTAATTTTTGTATTTTTAGTAGAGACAAGATTTCTCCATGTTGGCCAGGCTGGGTTCGAACTCCTAAGCTCAGTGATCCACCCACCAGGCTTCCTAAAGTGCTGTGACTATATTCATGAGCCATCGCGCCCAGTTTCCCACTCCTAAAGGCCACCGAGGGGGCCCAAAGTTCTCTACAGTGATCTTGGGGGAGAGCAGGAGTGGTAGCAGGATAAGTAGAGGTGAAATTGGGGAGGGCGTTGATGAAGAATGGAGACTTTTTCCTCTGGTTACCTCTGGCTGACCTATAGGGACTTTTGGGAAAGAAGAGAGATTGGTTGGGAGTCCTACCAGGTAATCTCATTTCTCCTCTTTCTCAGTTTCGAGGACAGTTGAAGTATCCTTAGAAATAAAGGGTCAACCCCCCTGGGCCTGGGCATTCCAATCAACCTTTATTGAGTTCTCCCACAGCATAGGCCCTGAACAGGGAGCTCAGAGTATCGCACAGAGAGAGGATCAGTAAATAGGTAACTGTGACACCAGGCAAGAATGAGGGACAGGAGTGGGGTGGGCAGAGTGAAATGTTTACGGAAGTTAGGAGTTAATTAGATTGGAGAGAATGGGAAATTTCTAGCAAGGAAAGAAACAGCTAGAAATAGCAGTAAAAGAGAAGGGCAATTAGTTCTGAAGGGCTGTAACCTAGAGTGTATGCAGGCAACTGAAGAGCTGATTCACAGAGACCCTTGTATGCCGAGCTGAGTTTAATAGATAATGCAATAGATCATCACTGAATCGGCATAAGTCAGAGAGTGACGTGGTCACGTTTATATCTGAGGTAGACCCTGTGGCTATTGCGTGCGGATTAGAGGAGGGTTAAGACTGAGAGCTAGCTGGGCGGAGAGCCTTACGCCCATAATCCCAGCATTTGGGAAGCCGAGGTGGGAGAATCACTTGAAGTCAAGAGTTTGAGACCAGCCTGGGCAACACATGAGACCCCATCTCTACCAAAAAATACTAATTTGGGGCACCAGGTGAGAAATGAAGGTCTGGATTGGGGTGGTGATAGAGGAAGGTTAGGAGGGAACACAGGGAGCCATTTAAAAGAGTGATGCTCAACAGAAATAAAATGGGTCAGGGGCCATATTAGAAAAGTAAAGAGAGGCTGGGCGCGGTGGCTCACGCCTGTAATCCTAGCACTTTGGGAGGCCGAGGTGAGTGGATCACCTGAGGTCAGGAGTTCAAGACCAGCCTGGCCATCATGGCGAAACCCCATAAAAAAAAAAAAAAAAAAAAAAAAAAGAAAGAAAAGTAAAGAGAAATAGGGGAAATTAATGTAAAGAATACGTTTTAGTTAACCGAAAATATTCAAAATATTATGATTTCAGCAGGAGACCAATGTAAACATTTCTGACAGGCTTTATGTTCTTCTTCTTTGGCACTGTCTGAAAGCCCACTTGCAGCAGAGCTAGATTTGGACTAGCTACATTTCAAGTGTTCAGTGGCCATCCGAAGTCAGCAGCTGCCATGCTGGGTAGTGCAGAAAAGATCACAAAGATTTCTTGGTCAATTGGATGTGGGGTGTGGGGTGTGTGTGTGTGTGTTGTGTGTGTGTGTGGTGTGTGTGTGGTGTCTGTGTGTGTGGTGTCTGTGTGTGGGGTGTGTGTGTGGTGTGTGTGTGTGTGGTGTGTGTGTGGTGTGTGTGTGTGGTGTGTGTGTGGTGTGTGTGTGTGGTGTGTGGTGTGTGTGGTGTGTGTGTGGTGTATGTGGTGTGTGTGTGGTGTGTGTGGTGTGTGTGTGGTGTGTGTGTGTGGTGTGTGTGTGTGTGGCG